TACCGTTAAAGTCTTATTTATGATTAAAAAAATTTACTTCAATATCCATAATTTCTATGATTTTTCCCGAAATATCCATCGACATCGATATGTCCGTAAAATCAGGAGCTCAATATTTTCATCGACGTCGACATTTCAAACATTGGTCAAAACTCATAAATTTCAAAAAAAAAAAAAAGAGCTCTAATATTGCTTTTCTCAATTTCCTACGATACATATATTTTATAATTCATTAAACACACATGAGAATACTTTCTCTAATGATTCTTTAAACGAAAACCTATATGGAAATAAAATTTGCCATACTTATTTAAATTTTAGGTAAAAAACTACAACACTGCCAAGTTGTAAGCCTTGGATTTAAAAAGTCAATCTGAGTTTAGTCCAATCGGTCAAGACATCAATATCCGACAAAAGATCGTAAATTTGAATCTCCATCATATATGCTGGTGTCTTTAAAATAAAGTTTGTTAAGACAGCACACTAGGTCTTCTACAGCTGGCTGACTACGTGGCATTGATTTACTATGAAGTCTTGCATTTCTAGTGTAATTAGGAGTTCATTCTCAAGTCTATATATATCATTTTTTTGTAATCCTCAGTTGTTTTGAATACTTAGAAGGGACTTGAGTTTCTCCTAAATTTCTGGTTCATGATTTCTTTTGTTAAAGTTGGATTTCAAATTCTTATAATAATAATTATTTTTAATTATCCTCTTTCTTTATGGCCCCCGGACTTGGGGTTCATAGGTACGCGAGTAAAGTAATCACAGACTGTACTATAAAATAAAAATAAAAAATAAAAAATAATCATAGACAGCAACAATTCTTTTGCAACAAGAAAAAGACACCCATAATTGTCTTTTTAAATTAAAACGTATAATAATTTTTTTTTCTTTTATTATCGTTGTTTTTGAGTTTTGAGAGGTGGGAGGGAAGCCCATTAATTTTGACTCATTATATAATATTTGATTTCCTTTGTATTTTTTCTTTATATAAATTATGAAAGCAATGTGCCAACGAAAAGCGTAGAAATTGGGAAATGAATTATTGAAAATTTGAAATACAAGATTTCATTTGGTAATAATTATTCACATCATTTGTGGAAAATATATTAAAAAAAATATTGTGAAGATCTAATTATATTTATATTATATGGTAACCAATGTGAACGTGTCACTTACTCAATCCCCGTAGACTTTGAAAAAATATGATTTTATAAAATATATCTTAAAATTATAATCTTTTTAAAATTACAAATTTGTCCCTAAACTTTTAAAATTATGTCTAATTGACTCATAAATATAGATCTTACCCTTTCAATATCATATCTACTACGTATGTGAATTTTAAAAATTGGTATATCGTGTAATAAATATATTGTAAAAGGCTAAAAGCACACAGAAAAATAAGATTTAAAGTTATTGTTAATTATATAAAGTGAAGTATATCAAGGTCCTTAATCTTTTAGGATTTTTCTTCGTTTGGTCTCTTTTTAGAATTCTCAATTTTGCTCTTAATGTATAAGAAAGATTTCAATTATGTGATTTGGTAAAAATGTTAAAAGAAAGCTAATGTTTCGTGAAGTTATTGTTTCATTGGAATATGTTAGCATGTCATTTGGACGAGTCATTCGAAAAAGAAAAAGAAAAATTTGTTGATGAATAGGTTGAATTTTATTTATGAACGAGTTAGCTGTCATGTGTAAGTACATAATGACCCATTAAAATGTCCAAAATTATTAATAGAACAATAATTTTGTGATAGTGAAGATTTCGCTAACAAATTTTAACAATTATTTTAGGAATTCCTAATTGAAATTTTTTTATACAATAAGGCAAATTTAAGAATTTTAAAATATTATGGATCAAATTTAACCATTATATAAATATAAGTTTAAATTATAACCTTAGTCTTTCAATTTTGTACATTTAATAGGTTCCTAAATTTTAGAGAGTGTCTAATAAACCTCTCAAATTTAATAAAATTTAATGTTATGTCTAATAAATTTGTTAATTTTAAAAAATGTCAATAGGCGAAAGACCTATTAAACACAAATTTGAAAGTTCAGACCTATTAAATATAAAATTGAAAATATAGAAACTTATAAATAAATGTTTAAATTTAAGTATCTTTTAAACACAAATCTAATAACCGACATGTTACTCTTTCTCTCGAAGTCGGATGTGAATTCCCATATCTTCACAATTGTTGTACTCAACCTAACTATAAGGTTTAAATACTTATTTTTGTTCCTAGACTTTGAACTTTAGCTCATTTTGGTCAATGTACTTTTAAACGTCTATTTGTGTTCCTATACTTTCAACTTTTATTCATTTTAGTCTATATATTTTCAAGACGTCGGTTTTGGTCGTTCTACTTTTAAAAAGTGACTATTTGGTCTCTACTTGTAAAATGTTAACACAAATTTTGTACACAACGAAAACTCTTTAATACAAATTAGCTATTTTATGCACCATGAAAACTTTTTAAACAAATTTATGGCTACATTTCAAAAAAATTAGTGAGTAAAATGCCATATTAAAATTATGATAGAAAGAAACGAAATAAAATAAAAATGTATATGGATCAAAATGGACATTTAAAAAATGGAGGGACTTAAAATGAATAAAATTTAAAAATATATAGAGTAAAATACAAGCCTATCTAAAAGTAAATGACGAAAATAATATTTAAACCTAAATATAAATAGGGATGTAATAAGATAGGGGGTAATTAATAACTACAATTGATTTGGTCGAACTTGGGTAGATTCCATCAGCCAACATGAATCAAGTTTGCGCCGTTCGGTAATAAATAAAATAATTGTAAGAGACAATTATATATATATAATTTTTTTTTTTGGTACAAGACAATTATATATTTATATGTTACATTTTCGATACTACCATAGGACGACCATGGTAATCTTATTATTATTATTTTGCACACCCAACCCCTTCTCTTGTCTCTTTATTTACTATATTCTAATTATTTTTTATTTAAATTAATAATTTAGTGAACTTTAGTTTAATTTTGGTTCCTATAATTTACTCAAATTTTACTAGTGGTCTCTATTTATATATATATATCACATACAGAAAAACTAATTGTCTTGTCTATGTTGCTATTGGTGTGGTTAAAATAAAGCAAAATTAAAATTCGATGAATCAAATTCTGACATGAAGTAGGTGCTCCAGAACTCGAAGATTGAGATAGAAGAAATGAACTTGACCGAAGAACTAAAGAACGAGATCAACCAATAGGTTGGTTGGTCAGCTTGGCCAAACCATGGTACACTATATAACTTTACTCTTTGCTTTGCTTCACATAAAACCTCGATTCTCACTTAAATATCAGAGTGTGTATGGCTAGAAACATACTGGTGTGTAATTTTCTATTTTATAGGTTTTGTCAAATCCCTTATATTCTTGACGATTACTATAAATTTGGTAATTAAGATAGGTCAAGTTTCTGCAATGACAATTATCTGCGACGTATTTTCTGTTTAATGTAGAAGAAATTTTGTATTTTCTATTTCACAAACTATAATGAGATTTATGATTGAGTAAGAAAAGAAGTTAGGTTTAAATTGATGTAAAAATGATTGGTAAAATTTAACCATCATATTAAATTGAAACAAAGCTTTAATTATAGGACTCAAATGGAAATTTTTAACCCTAGAGATGAAATTAAAATTAAAACTAATTATGATGATCAAATTATTACTTCAAAATAAAAATAATTAAGATTCCTTTGAAAAAAAAAATAATAATTAAGATTTAGAGAAGAAAATCATACTCAAGCTAAAAAGATATGACTTTAATGGTGCGTAATTTCCTTTCCCATTTTGTATGGTAATATTATGAGAAATAAAATTAAAAAAGTGTTCTAAAAAGGACAGAGATATTTGGGGGTGTGTGGATAAAACATTTTTCTTCCTTTTTAGTTATTTAAGAAAAATTTAGTACTATTATTATTATTATTTTAACATTTTTAACATATTAGAAATTTAACCTTTTTTTTTTTTTGAGTTCTACGATACGATATTCGATTTTTTGGTCAAAAATATATCCAGGATATTAAATTTCTATTGACATGTCAATATTTCCATTAATATGTCAACATTTTCATTGATATTTCTATATGTTCATGAGTTTGACATCGACATTTTTAATAATATTGCTAAAACATTGACAACATATAATAATACATATCATAAAAGGATTACTAATATAGACATAATATTAATATTAATAAATTTTAATTTAAAAAAGATGTAATTTTAAATACTTATTATGATTTTTTACTTTTATAATTTTCCAAAATAGCAATCCAAGAATTCGTATTTTTATTGACATCAAAATGTTCAGGTTCACATCAAATATGTCTACTTTTTATTTTTTCTGAGGGAATATTATAAAAGTAATATTCTTCTTCAAAAAAAAAATTTATAAAAGTAATATTCTGAACAAAAACCCTTACCTTCCATAAATTAATTGAAAAATACGGTTTCTTTATTATTTCCTGGTAAAATTTTCAAATTCATTCTTAAAAAAAGGAAAAAAAGAAATAAACGCAGCCAATCACAGTCGAACACGTGTCCTTTCCTACTTGTTTCCTCTTACAGCTCCTTCTTCCCCTCGCATCATTCCAGAGCAAAATGGACACAAATCAGGCAAATCCCATAAGAAAAAAAACTTCAGATATTCTTCTTTCCGTTGGGTTTTTCTCTTTCTTTTTAAAACAGTTTGCTTTTGTGTAATTAACGTTACGCCTTATAAATCGGGCTGCCTCTGTTTCTCCATGATCCCATTTTTTTTCCTCCTCAACTATACGGCACCCAACTGAGAGAACCCTTTTCCTTTCCCTCTCTAAAACTGTTTTTTTTTCCCCTCTCTCTCTCTCTAATACTTTTCTTCTCTCCCACGTCTGCTTTTTGAATCCATTTCTCGAAGAGGGCAACGATTTTGGATGTTGTTGCCGAGTGTTTTGCGGTGAAATTTGGGCAGTTTTCTTCTTTTTTCTTTCTTCTTCTGTCTCTTGTAGTAATAATCTCTCCTCTGGAATTTCATGGAAACATGAAGTTCTCCAGTTGTGTAAGTAACCCTTTTCTTTCTTCTTCTTCTTCTTCTTCTTCTTCTTCTTCTTACCCCCTTCTGGATGAACTTTTGTTTAATGGGTTACGAAAATTAGTTTTTCTTTTGGCTGTTTGGTTTGATTTGGATTCTTTTTGGGTGTGTTTTAACCCAAAATTTAATGGGAACCAATCAAATTTTGCAATGATGGGTGTTGTGTAATATACATGTTTACTGGAGATTAATCATGTCCTCTGTTTTGTGGGCTTTGAGAAGTTGTGTATATCTTCATATGGACATGATTTTGTTTCATTTCTTATTTTGACTTGTGATTTTGTTAAGTTGTATCTTTTTTGTTTTTGTTATTTTTTGTTTGCAGTTGCCCTTTCTTGCAGAGGCTAAAAGTAGGAATTCATGTCTTTGTACCCTTTTTCCAACTGCTTCTTTGCTTTGTCTTGTACTGTTCTTGGGGAGTGCATATGTAGCACCAGACTATAGGGAGGTATGTTTTCTTGCTCTTGATGATTTTTTAATACAAGTATTGGTTGTTCTCTCTCTCAATTGAGTGTTTTTCTTTT